AGAATAAAAAAATTATTATTAAAAGATTTGAATATTCATATATGATTTAATACATTAAAAAGCTATACAATAAATTTTAAATTATGAATTGTTTTTAATTTAAATATAATTATTATTATTATTTATAATAAATCAAAAAAGAAAATGAATTTTCATAATTTTTTACTTTTTCAAAATATAAAATTAATATTACTAAATACATTATTTTTATAATCGAAGAAATTTTTATTAAAAATCTATTCCAACAAATGAATCTTTTTAAATATATAAAAATACTTATATATAATTAATATTCTAATGAAATTAGAATAATAGAGATTTTAAACAATCATTATGGAACCAATCAGAATGAATATGAAATCAAGTTTGCGCCACACATGGCGTCCAAGAACCGACGCCATCTAACGTCTGGCATTCCTGTTTTTTTCGTGCGGGTAAAATCACGGCTTTCTATAGCGCGTAAGTCTTTATCGTTTTGTTTTGTAGAATTCGGTAAGTTAAGTAGATATCTTTGATAAATCTACTATGCTATGCGTATACCGAATGAAATGTTAGCTGAGAAAAAACATTCACGCGGTAAAGAAAGTATGTGGGAAAATGAGTTAACCGTGTGTTAACGCGCAGTGGTCAACTATCCGTGCAAGTTTAGCAAAGGAATATATATCCATATTCAAGACGTAATAACGTCAAGGTAATTATATGTTAATCCTTATAATTAGAAATATTATGTTATTTCTCTAAATATTTATAAAATTTAATTCTAACGAAAATTTCCTTCGTGTTTATGTTTACTCCTCTAATTACCCCCTCCCTCTTTAGCCACCTTCTATTCCTTAATTCCTTCTGAGATTCTCCCTCGTTTTCTTTATATTTTATACATATTTTCTTTACAATATTTTCTTTTTATAATTTTGTTTTTTATATTGTCATATAAATTTGCTTAATTTTATCTATCTGTTATTGCATTGCTTTCAATAACCAAACTATGAAAAGAAAAGCATTGTTTGTATTGTTAAAATATGAGCATTATTTTAAGTTATTTTAAGTTATGTTTGATATTCTTTAATATTTTGATGAATAATGTTAGCATATTATTAAATAAAAAATCATTATAAAGCAATAATTTTTCAAAAGTTATTTGCATGTATATGTTTATTTATATCTTAATATATTTATATTTTAAATATATATTTATATATAGTCGATTTTATTAAATTGATATTGATTTTTTATAAGTATTTAGAAAAACATATTTAATCAGTGAAAAATGAGTGCGTCGGCCTTAAAATCAACAATACCTGGAGTAGGTACTTCCCCATCTTCTACAAGTCATTCTATTCTTCCAATGAATGCAATGGCACAAAAAGTTGTATCAGGATCAGAACCAGCATCTATGAAGCCTTTACCAGGAACTGGATTAAGTTATGTTACATTACAACCACCTAATCATCCATCAAGCCAACCTTTAAGCTTAGTGCAGGATCATAGACCTTCTGTATATCAAACACCACCTTATGTAAGCAGTAATTCTGAAAAGGAAGACTTGGATAAATTAATCCCTAATGGAGTAGAAATTATGAAAACTGAAACAGAACAAAATATATCTGTTTCCATAAAACAAAATGAATCTAACAGAAATAATAATTTAAGTCCAGATAATCCTACACAAGATTCACAAAGAGAAGTTCAAACAGATCAAGAGATGACATCTATTAATTTAGATTTCCCTGGTTAGTAATAAAATTTTATTAATTAAATTATTAATTTAACTAATTTCATATCAAATATTTGATTAAATGCACATTTTATATAATTCATATTTTATTACTTTACAAATATTTTTATATATATATATATAAATATAATAATTATTTATTTATTTATACTTAAGACATGTTGAATTCATTAACATTATATTGCATGTAATAATACAAAAGATATATTTATATATAAGATATATTTATATAACTATATGAGTGTATAAATGTTACTTTAGCATTATGTCCACAATTACAAAACAAAGTTGAAGAAAAAAAGACTCCTGTAAATAATGGTTCAAAAGAATCTGATGGAATTCCAATTAATACAACTTCACAAACAAAATTATCATCACATAAATCAGAAGATGGGTCAGTAAAATCTGATAGTCAGAAGTCAAAAACTATAACTCAAAACACAAAACTTATAGCAGATAGTTCTGCATTATCACAAACAAGTAATCCACCAAAAATTGAAACAAAGGTCACTGGTTCACCAAAAGCAAATAAAAGAAAATCTAGAGAATTGAAAGATTTAAAAGGAATATCAGCAACATCAGATGGAGCAAGTAAACCAAAAAGAAATCGAATTCAAACACAGCCTTATCAAAGTCCATTACCAGAAATTGCATTGCTTGTAAAAAATTTAAATAAACCACCACCATCAAAAGCTTCTGATGATAAACTTATAGTATTCTATAAGTAAGTATGATTCATATATTTTAAATATGCATAATATAATATAATGATGAATAATAATAAAAAGTTTGGATTCTTTATTAAATTTTTATTTATGAATATAAGTTATTTTACATTGACTTTTATTATAAATATAAAAAAATTAATAATCCTATCATATACATTAACTTTTATTGATATTCATTATTAGAAACGAATTTTTGGCTGTGAGAAATGCAGAAGGAAGTTTCTATGTATGTCAAGCAATGCAAAATATATATAAATCTAGCAGAAAAATTCGTATACGTTGGCTTTCTCAAGACAAAAACAATGGAGAGATATATTCACCAGATTTTTACGATTATATAGGTAATCTCATGAAAATTGTAATTATAAATATAATTAATAAATTTTGAATAACTTGATTTATATTATATGATAAATAATATATATTTATTTTAAATAATGTAAATCTATTATTTTTTTTTTAAATTTCAGATTTTGATTGCATCTTAACAAATTTAAATTTAAACAAAATTGATAAAAATAAATTTCAATTAACAAAGATAGAATTATTACGTACAGAAAACATTTTAAAAAGAGCAATTGATGTTGAAGCTGGTGTGTCTGAAAAACCTCGAGTAACAGAAGAACATCCGGATGGACGTTAGTATTTTTATATACTATTTATTATTGTGTTCTACTAATATCAAACTTTTATTTTATTTTAATTTTTTAATATAATTCAATAATGTTTAATTTATTATATTATCTTCTATATCAAATTTAATTAAATTATTAATATAAAAGATATACTTGTTTATTAATATTACTTGTTTATTATTTATATTATTAAAATTTTATAAAAATATTTTATGAAATTGAAATTTTAATATCTTATCCACAGTTGATCTTTCACTTTATAAAGATGAATCACAATTAAAAAGAAGAAAAAGTCATAATTTACATAAACAAAAACAAAGTTTACGTAAGAAAGCAAAACGAACTGAAAGCTTCTCTGAAGATGACACTCTTGAAGATGAATCGGGAAAAAAATCACCTAAATCGAATCGTTCTAAAAAACGAACAGTTAATAAAGCTTTAGCAATTGCAAAGTCTGTTGCAAAAGGATCTAGTAGAGCAGAAAGAGCATTAAATAGAAATACAAAATCTGGAAGTGAAACTACTGCTGCTACTAATAGTACTACTACTACAGTTACCACATCTACCACATCAATAGATGTAACTAAAAATAATACAGATATTAAAAGAAATGAAAATAAAAAGAGCACAAAGCAACAGAATAATAATAATACAAGTGGAGTATCAAGGACAAAACTACGTGGTAAGAAATTTTCCTTAGTATGATTTTAACATATTAATTCATTAAGAAAGATATTGCTCTTTAATCATCTTCAAAATTATTTAAATCATAATTTGCATCATCAAAATATTCATCTTTTTTTTTAACTTTGTAATTTATAATAGTATAATTTTTCTTAAAAATATTATAATCTAATTTTTAGCATCTGCACAAAATGCACAACAAAGTAATAAAACAGCAGGTCGTCCAAAGCGTATGGCTGCAGCTACAGGTATTGT